ATGAATAAATTACTAACTTTAGAATCTGTGGCCTTAACTATGAACAAATTACTAATTTTATTTATATGATAATTTTATATTATATTATGATAATTAAAAAATAACAAATTAAATGAAAACAGAACGTTTTTATAAAAATGTGTCCCTTTAGTATATGCCCTTTTAGCAGTAGTAGATTTTTATCCTAAGAGTGTATTATAGGGTATTTTGTTTTGTAGTAGAAAATACATTTTTAGCGAACAAATGTGTAAATAACACTAGCAACAGAAAATATATTATTTAGAGTTAAGTATATCTTAAAGAAACATTATAATGTTATTAGGTCGCATTATAATTATCACTCTATCATATTATCTTATGTAGATTACATAATCTATTAAACAATAATCATAAACAACTAATATATTATAAATACACCTGATAGTATTGATAATTGGATATAAATAAGACATAAATATATCCAAAATATTAAAAGATTTTCCACGAATTTTTAATTTTCGAACAATGCCAAAAATGGCCATTTCTTAACATCCTCTTCTGTCAAAGCATTTATTCATTAAAAGTTAAAATTTAAAGATGTATATCTGACGTTCTACGATTAAAAAAATCAATATTTACAAGAAAACTTAAAAATTCTATTAATTTATGTAATAAAATCAGTTATTTAAATTTTTTTAAGTTTTTTGTAAATTAAATAAATTAAATTAAGTATTACATATCAAATACACATTACATCTTCACAATAAATGCATGATACTAAATATTATTTTTTTAGTATAGAGTAGTGTTAAACGGACTGGGTTATATGTTATTCGGCATTCCTGAGAAAGACCTTGAAAAAACATGGAACATCAATATAATTAACACCGTATCGGGAAAAACACCTTTACTTAACAATCGAGACTTAAATTCAATAGAGGTACGTATGTGTGTGTTGATAAATTATTTAAAAATTTAATTATATTATTTCATTTCATTTGCTTTTTGTTTATTAATTTATTTTATAATATTATACTGAAAAAAGATTTATATCATAGGAGAATAGAATATATGAGAAAGATATTACGAAAAGAAGATATTCTAAAGTAAGATTATATACAGGCGGTAGAATTCTTCACATAGTCAGATGCAAGCCTGGAAGCTCAGAAAACGAAAGGTCTGCTATTTATCTCATATTTTGTCAATTATTTATTTTCTATACAAAAATTCATATAATATTAGTCATTTATTTATTAATCTTGTGCAAAATCGAAGAATATTTCAGAAGTGCGGAATGACAAACTGCATTATGTTCTTCCTTACAGCAAGAAACAAAGCAAAGAAGAAAAGAAATTTGAGATGCGATGGGCACATCCAGAAGAATTTACAGAATTACTTGTGATGCCGCGAATGTTACTGGATCATTTACCAGAAAATATAGACGAAGCTATAACTACATTGCTGGAACAACAAAAAGAGTTACCAAAATATGTGCTTTGATTCTTGACATGATTTAAGTGATTTAAATAACGTACAGAAACTTTATTGTATTGTACTCTATTATTGTATTATATTATATTACATTATTATATATTATATTTTTAACGAAATTGTACAATTCCCAAAGTAGTATATAACGTCTCAAAGAAGTCTATTTTAGATTTAAATATACTTTAAATCTAAATATTTTATAAACTGAGTTAAACAGACGTTATGTACATCTTAAAAATATAGTAAGATATTCGGATATGTAACAACTTCCATTTCAAAAATATCTAGAAGGCATTGCGACATTATAAACTTAGATTCATTCATTCAACAAATATTCTATTTCTATAATAAAATAATTAGTAGTTATAGATGCTGCTAGTTCACACACAAGATTTTTAACGTAAAAATTATTTCTTTTTTTATTTACTTTATGTTTCAACATTTTTTATTATTAAAAACGTCAAGCACAAGAAGTTTAAAGAGATCAAAAAATAAGAACTAATGCTTGGAAATATCTTAGAGATATTTATTTTTGTAATATAAATTATTATAATTATAATATATATTATAATTATTATGATTATAATATTATAACAGCGTAAGATAAAATGAATAAGTTAATTATATAGTAGTATTATGTCTCTCCATTTAGCAATAAAATAATAAACAGCTGGGGAAATTTTACACTGACAATTACTTTTTATTCCTCTTAACCAACAGTTAATCTTTGCTTTAGTTATTTCAATCATACGATAAGAAAGATTAGAATAGAAGGATAAAAATTGCGACGGATTATCAGTTGTTTTCACTTTGTTGTAGTAATTATTATTTAATACGATGTTTTTATAGATTATAGAGTATTGCAATGATTGTGATCATTTTATGATGATGAATTCTTTTTCACTGCTGCACATATTGCAAACAATAGTATATGTATCATATTTCTTTTAATAGTATATGTATCAATCGCATAGTTTATCGTGTTGCATTTGTAAATTAATATGTTAATTGGGTTACAATGTAAATATAACCAAATGTTATATACCAACCTTTTGGTATTATAAAAAGGTTTTTAAAATCTTAATTTTTGCAATGTATTTGTGTTATTACGTAATGATATTTATTTTACAGAGTTATTAAATACATTGTTTAGGAGATACAAGATATTCCATGATTTATTAATTTTTGTCGCTTTCATAAAAGAGTCATCAAATTTTTTCGATCTTGAACAATATTTTAGATCTCGCGAAATATTTTAGAATCAAGGAATTTTGATCTATCGGAAAGCACAATAAAATACGATGTAACGTTCATTATTATACAAAAAACACAGAGGTCCGATGACTTCGCGCAAACCGTGTTATTATTATATTTTAATATTTTTCAATTTTAATGCATTCTGAGTATATACTGCCATGTTAATTCAAATAAGCACATCTGGTCCCATCAAACGAGTTTGACAAACGACTTTAGAAAAAAGACTTTTAGTATTTAACAGTCAGGCATCGATTTCAAATATATTCGAAATATAAACTATTATATTTAATGCAGTTGAAGTTTTCTCATAATATACATATAGATAAACTATTTTTATGCTACTTATGTATTAATGACTTGATTTAAGTGAAAGTTGTAGATACGCCTGTTTTGATTTAACACACCAATATATGAATAATTTGGTTCATTTTTGAAACTGTTAAATTTATTTTTAGTCTTATTCATGATAATTTAAATAATTATAATTAAATGATCAATGAAATAAAAATATATGCGACTTACAATTAAATACGATGAGCAACATATGGAATCGTGGCCAGAAATCATTGCAAATATCACTAAATAAAAACCATTAAATCCGGTGCCAAATGTCTGTATCGCCGTCATAATTGAATATATATATGTAATAACTCTTTTAAATAATGTTTACTATTTTAAATTGTAGACGTGTTAAAAAAAATGTATTCAAAAACAAGTCTTATCGGTATAATTTTTACTTGACGATTTCTGGACAAGCAGCTCCTTACTATATTTGTTGTCACGTTCTCGTCTAAAACTGACGGTTTCACGTCACGCGTTTACATTTTAATATTAGATGGATTAGATCGATTATAAAGATCGATTATGTTTAAGAATCGCAATACATAATTGCAAAACTTCATCACTTCATTGACATTGTGATCTTTACTAAAATTAAAATTATTGCGTGCGCGTTTCGTATAAAAATATATCGCATAAATTAAGAAAAAATTAAGACAAAATTAATAAAATAAATTAACAAAAAGAGAAAAAATAAAAATTTTCTTTCTTTGATTCTTTTCAATTTTTACAAAAATACTACGTCTTTAAATTCTTTTTATCTATAAAACATAAAAAATTATATCTATAATTTTATTTTTAAATCTTGGTTTTATTAAATGGTATTAAATCTTTAAGTTAAAATTTAATAAACTTAATTTTTTTAGAATAAATTGAACATAAACAGAATAAATTAAACATGAATCTATCTTCTATCTTTATTTAATGCTATCAGCATTGACTGAAGTTAGTCAATGATGTGACTATTTTAGTCAATGATATGTTAGTATAAAATTTTAACATAAATAATTTGATTAGTTTAGTCAGTTACGTTACATAGTTTAGTTACATTAAACATTAAATTGTTTGAGAATTATATATAATATAATATTATATATAATACTAAGTATAAATTTTCTTTTAAATTTAAAAATTGTTAAATTTTTTTAAATTTTGACTAAGACAATAAAACATTGCAGGAATAAATAAGAATTTTCTTTCTATTTAAATTTACATAATAATTTATTATATTTAAATATACTTAAATGTATGATATTAATATTGTATTTATTATTATTCTATATTAAGAAAATTATAAATTTTTTAACAAAATTTGAAATAATTAAAATATTTATAAAAATCGTAAAAAATTGAATTTCCTAAAATTTCATAAAAATTTAAAGAATTTCTTTTAGCTTTATTAATTAATAAAAAATATAAAATTCTTTCTATTTTTCTGTTTAAGATACAAATACATATGTTAAATTCCATATTAGAAATTAATAAAATGCATTTATTAGAAATTAATAAAATACAAAAAAATTTAAACAAAATTAAAATTTTAAAAAATTAAAATTATCTGAATTGTCTTTGGTAATATTATGTACCTAGTAAGTTGTAAGCTGTTAAGAAATTCTAAATGTTTTTTAAAAGTTTTCCCATTTTTAACAAAAAAAAAAACTAAAAATTTTGTTTAATATTAAAATATTTTTATTAAACCTTAGAAATATAAAAAAAAAGATTGAAGAAAGTTCAAAAATTTTGTCATATATTTCGAAATGTTTAATAAAACTGTAAAACTTTACAAAGAAAAAAAATTTAAGATTTTTAGTTTTATTCTTTTAAAATTGAAATATTTCAAAGATTTTCGAGTCATCGAAACATCCATCGATAGAATAAGTCGATAATATAGATCTGGATGTATTCAGAAGCTATTTTCCGGTTACAGGAAACACATGTATAGCAAGGAAACACATGGGAAAGCATTTGGTGATTTTGTATAGAAATACGAGTTCAAAATGTATAATATATAACTTGAAATTATTGAAAGTATTGTTTTATTAAAAGATTATAAATTTAGTTGTAAAAGTAAGTACTATCTAAAATTTCCATTGCTATATATTATAACCTCCATACTTTTTTGCACACATGTGCTTGACAGTTATAATAAAAATTGAGTATTAGCATTTATTTTAATAGTTTTAATAATGTGTTTTATAATTTAAAAATTTTTTAATGATTTAAACGAATTATCTTTAAAAATGAATATATAATATCATTTTTTAACAGATGTCAGTTGTGTCTTCAAGAGTTAGTAGTGTTTCATCACTTCTAAAAAATCCTGGAATTAGATCACAATTTATTAGACAGTCTAATAGAGTATATTTGAAACTTCCAAAAAATCTCAAAAGTATTCTCTTTAATTTTGAAGCTGGTAATGGAACAAAAGATTATGAAAATTTAATATATATTTTACGAAATTCAGATATAAAGGTATTTAATAATAATTGGTATCATTTCTATCATAGTTTTATCTTAATCCAAGATAACTCAATTTTATTGAATTTCTATTTTGTTTTTATTATTTTTAGGATGCAGATTTAATAGAATTTTTATCAAATGTAAGACAATGTATGTCATTACTTGGCCCTGTTCATAAAGTACTTGTGGAAACACTCCTACAAATAAAATGGACAAACCGCTCTTTAGAAGTAACATCTGCTTATAAAGTATTTATTGAAGATTTAATTTGTATGCAAATTCATTATGCTAAAAATGCTATAGACAATTTAGTTGAACAGTTTAAACCAGGTATATTTTATTGTATATAAATAAGTCTAGCAAATTGAATTATAATTAATATTTTTATTTTCAATAGATGAAGATGATGGTACTGAGTTGGAAATTGGAGTAAGCAAAGATATTCAGAGGTTAAATCATATACATAATATTCTTCAAAAAGTTTTAAAAGTTGTGCCAATGTAAGAATACCATGTTTATATTTACATTTATGTTAAATTATATTTAAATATGTTTTGCAAATAATATGTATATAATATCAATAAGACTAAAGAATATAATTAACTGTATAAAAATATATTTTAGGTCAAGCAAACTTCTATTACAATCTCTTGGTGCAAGGTTTCCATATTTCATTCATGGAAGTCATACACATGAAGTTTATATTTATGCATTAATTCAAATATTAGAATATGCACCGCATTTGCGATTTGATATTCTATCTCTAATTATTAATAGGTAATATAACGCTATAATTTAATTTTATCATTTTAGGATAAAAAATAAGTTCTTTGTTGTAAGCTATTTTTATTTGTAATAGGTTAATGGTATTAGATGTAAATATACCACAGTTAGAGATAGATAACGAAGAGGAAGACTTAATGGATGATAATAGTGAATGTAACAGTACCCTTGGTAATGAGAATAATGTTGAAGAAAATAATATAACAGAAACAGATAAAATACATCCAATAGCTCATAAGTTGGATGTGTGTATGGAACTGATTCTAAAATATATGCATAACTTTTGTTTTATTAAAAAAGTTTTGCAAGTAGAATGTTTAAAAAGTCTTTATTTTGATCTATTGAAAATATTTGAAACAATAATATTACCCACTCATGCAAGTCAATATGTGCAGTATATTATATTCTATATTTGTAGTTTTAAAACTGCTGTTGTGGAGGCTTTTATAGATTGGTTATGGCGAAAGGCATCCGATCCTAATGTACCTTCTATTGTACGACAGTCATCCATAGCATATATTGCTAGTTTACTGGTTACAGCAAAATTTGTTACAACTGGGTATACTTTTAATATTATATTACATTTATAATATAAAAAAGTTTTTATATATTTTTATTTTTATTAGGTTAGTAAAAGCTGTCCAATTAAAAATATCCAAATGGATACATGATTATATTAATATGCAAGATCATTCAAATTATATAATGGATGAAAATAAAGAACATAGTGTATTTTATTCTATCTGTCAAGCATTGTTCCTTATAATTACTAAAAGACATAATGATTATTCTGATACAAAGAAGTGTAAGTATATTTTTTTAATTAAATAATATACATTGTTTTTTTAATTTTATTAACACAATATAATTATTATTTATTTATTTTTCAGATATGTTACATTTACAAGAGTTGGATTTAGCAAAAATTATAACTTGTAAATTAAATCCATTGAAAGCCTGTGATCCTGAAATTATGCATAGTTTTGCAGAAATTACCCGAATGTATCAATTGGCATATTGTTATACTATAATTGAAAATAATACACGGAATCAACTTCCTCTTTTCGATAGTAAAAAAGGAACAACACCTACAATTCAAAACTTTTTTCCATTCAATTTTTATATGTTACAACGAAGTGGACAAAGAATAATTCCCATATTGCGTGATAATGTTAGTAGTAGTGAACATAGAACAACTATTAAATATAGGAAAGACATTGAACATATGACTGAATATTAGATTTAATTCTTCAAATTTAACATACAATTTGTAATCATTTTGAATAAATTAAATATTTACATAAGTAATATTGCTATTCTGAATTAGACAAATATGACTAAAACAAATCTGGTAATTTATATAAAATGTAAAATTTTAATTTAATAAAAACGTATAATTTAAATAAATTTATTATTATGCTTTTAAGTTATAAATATTAATATGTAAAACTTCATAATTATAAAAATGTAATTGATAATTTTCTAATTATATTTATATATAGTACATATAATAATAAAGATGAGTTCGAAACTAATTTTAAGTGCTCGAAACTCGAATTTGAAACTTTGCAAGTATATTTAAAATGCTGATTTTATTTTGTAAGAGGAATTTTTTATTTTAATAATTAAAATTAGCACTTTTATATATATTTTTATTGGACACAGTTAAACCAAAAAGAAGAACACAACGTACAAAAATACTACGAATCTAAGTTCTTATTTAAGAACGCTTCTAAACTCTTTCTAGAATTAATCTACTTTTTTTTATCAATTATATTACCGGATGTACTGAAAAGATTTTTGGAGTATACTTTTGATAATGTAATTTTTTGATAAATTCTTTAGATTTGAATACTTTACATTATTATTTCAGATTGATCGCACATTTTTGTATTCAGAAAAACAATCATCGAATGTTTGCAAAGCTCCCACTAAATATTTGACACAAACATGAATCGTCAAACATTCTTTATTTATAATGCAAATGATTTTTTATTCATTAATTTCATACTTTCTTTATCAGAGTTTCAAACCATGAGAAAACTACAAAATTTCGAATTCTCAAAATTTTTGGGTTTTAGGAAGAATTTTAAGATTTCCAGTAACCCATCCGTACATATATAAACTTTCTGATTTCATCACAAATTTGGAAATAACATATTCATTATATATTTATAATTGTATCTTATAACTGGCTTCTTGTAGAGATATTAAAGTTCAAAAAAATAAATCGTTTATTTATCGGTAAATATAACATAAAATTAATTTTAAATATTTGAGAAAATTTCATTAAAAACTTCAGAATTACATTATTAGCTACATTGCTAAGTTTAGTCACATGTATGAACAAGTAAAATTTTAATAATATAACAACTGTATTATTAAATAATAAATATAAATTAAACACACATTGTTATAAATATACATTTTGTAAAAATTCGTCAGCTTGACATATCAAATTTCGCGCCATTAATGTCTTAGAAAACCGGAGCCGGAAATTCTACTTCAGTGACGCAGTGGCGTAATCTTTGCGGTCTATCGGTTGCTTTGCGATTCTTTCACGTAAACGGTAACGTAAAATGGCGAATTGGAATTGTTATTTACTTGCGCGAGTCATAACGAAATAATTAGAATACGATCTAAAAAATATTTGTTACTGCTGAATTCGAGATTGTGTATTTATTTCTTCTTACGCAAACGACTGTAAGTATCACGCTTGTCAATTTAATAAAAAATTTATAACGTGTGCACTAGACGTCGGTTCATATTCAAGTCGATAATTCCGCATCTTTTTCATATGAAATTGACAATAAAACTCGTTTATAGCACAGCAAAATATAAACGTTCTTATTATTATTTCATCATAATTTTTACTTAGAATAGTTGAAATAAGGTTATGATAAAATTCTTAAATACCATCATTTACCTTCGCACGTTTCAATGTTGAATTACAAATATGTTTTATAATACATGATAATATGTGTATTGCTAATGTACGTATTTATTTTTATTTTATAGTTTTAATTTTTTAACAAACATGAAATTCAAATCGATTCGTTTCTTCATTTTCTAGGTTATGATTCTTTGAAATCAAATATTTCTCGTTTTTGAGATGTTATTTCAAATCTTCATTTTGTATTTACAAATAATAGGACTATAATAATATTAGAAATAATATTAAGAATAATTAAAATAATTTCACATAATTCGATAATAAAGATAATTTTATATTTACACATTATATTACAGTATATTACTTTATTTACCAATTTATATCACATGTATTGTAAAATCTCAATAATTTATTAGAGATATTCTCATCTGAATTCTAACATATTTGTATTTAAATTTATTGATAATTTCTTGGCAGATATGATTGAAATATATATCTAATTCATATTTTTATTATATTAAATAATTAGAATTTTATTGATTGTTTACAAACTAATAACAATAAAATATCTTGAAAAACATGTTCTTATTATAATGTTGCTACAATTTACTAACAAATATTTTTCTTATGGTCTTTTGTGTATCATTTTGTTTCTTTTTTTTCATGAGTATTATATGATCTTATATATATATCTTTAAATATAAACCATTAAATTAATATGAATTCTATGAATTCTTTAACAATATTCATTAAAAACAAGTTTATTATCAATAGAATATTTCAATTATTTATAATATTGAATATACAATGTACTACATTTCTGTTAACAGAAGGTATATATAAATATTTTATAACAAAAAGCAATTATAATAACAAATAAGCTATTATATAAATAAAATTATAAAATTTTTAATTGTAGTTTAAACTATTAAATATTATTAATTTTTTATTATGCTGTACTATACATTATTATATATTACTATATTTTAGAGTCTATAATTCATTATGTTTTAATATCTTCTTTCATTGATGGACTAATATTTTTATTAACATATTAATCATATTCTTAATAACACATCAATCATGTTCTTAGTATTAATATATACATTTAATGTGTATATTTTTATTAAACTATTTTCATTTATATGAGAATACGTATTACATGTATCATAATGGGACGTATCTCTCAATATAAAATAAAATAAATCAAAGTTTATTATGAAACATTGCATTATATAATACAGCAAAATATGTAACTTATTATTTATATAAATTTGCCCATATCTTATTTAGATAATTATAAAATTATACAAATTCTCTTGTTTAAAATTTTGCATGCTACTATAATTTAGAAGAATGCTTTTGTCGATAAGATTTATCAGAACTTATATACTTTACAAGATACTATAGTTTTTTATTGAAAAGTTTTCATCAAATTTTATAAATCTTTGAAGCACATGTTGTACAACAATTTTTAAATATTTTAATTATGTATAAAATTCAGATTATGGAAATTTATGTTTAGATTTAATTTTCAATTATGTGATTTAAAATGGTTTTAAGATTACTTGTTTTTGCAATATTTAGAAACATTATACGTAGGAGACTACTTAAGAAGTTCAACTCTTTACTTTATGTCTAGTATAAATAATAATATATAAATAAAATGAAATATTTTTAATATGCTTCTTGTATTTCGTAATATTTCTTAATATTTTGCAATTTAGTAAGATCTTGTTTTAATTTGTAATATAGCTACTTCAAGCATTTATTATAATATACATGAAATTAAATTAAAAAATAAATATTTTTTGAAATAAATATAAAATACTAATTAATTTTAGAAACAAATTTATTCAATTTGAGGATAAATTACGTTTAATTCAAATTATATTCATATTCTGTTATTTAACTAATATATATAATTTTTTAACATAGATAAAACATGTACTATTTTTATGTAATGTAATTATTTTTTAGTTTTAATTGTAAATGATAATTTAAATAAAGCAATTAATATAAATTTAAATATTTAAAACAAAACATATAGAAATATGCATTCAAAACA